ATAAATATTTAATTTTATTTTTAATCATACTATTACTTTTGTTAATTTTTAATTTCTATCTTAACTATGATATATATACAATTTAAGTAATTAATATGAAGAAAAATTTCTCACGTGCAACGCATATGCTTAATTTCTAGTGATTTTAAAATGTGGATTTTGAGTGTAGCTCCACAATTTTGATTTTGGTTTTTGGAAAGGTTTTAAAAACTAATAAAAAACGGAATCGCTTTGACCATCAGTTTCAAGGTTAGTGGTTCAACCATCCAAGTCGAACGTTTGGCCCACAACATTAATTTTTTTAGAAATAAACCTCGTAATGTCCATATTAGATTCATATTCTAATCTATAATTTTTGTTCTAGTTGTTCCATTAAAATCAATGTTTAAAACTTAAAAGTCTATGCTAACACATTTATTGTATTAGGAGATAGGAGACGGGGGGAGAGATAAAAGGTGAGATGTGAGAGGTGATAAAGAGAAAGTGTGTCGAAATAGTAAAATAGAATAGGGGGTGGGGAGAGAGAGAGAGAGAGAGAGAGAGAAAGAGAGTTGTTAATTGACCAAAAACCGGCAAACCACTGCTCGGGCGAATAGTTTAGCGATTCACCACCTGAGTTAGTAGTCATAGTTTGGACCCAAAATTATGATCGGTTCCCAAGTCAAACAATCCAATTGTCCGATTTGGCCCAATTTTTAAAATAGGGTTTTTTGGGTTAGCTTTTTTCATTGGTTTATAAGTAGTTTCTGCCTAATCTCAAGATGTTTAAGTTGGCCTCATCCCAAGCATCCATTTCAAAAAGTCATTTTTTTTTCTAAAAAAAATTGCCATATAGGCTTTAAAAATTGATTTCTAACATTATGGGCATCCCATTTTTTAGTGTTCCAATTATTCATGGCATAATTGATAAGAAGGCTCTGAATAACATAAGAACTAAAATTAGGGTTGGAAATTGAAAATTCTTTTTAAAGATGAAAGAGTTTTCCTTATCAAATAAGTTTTAAATGTGGTTCTTCTATATACAAGGCACAATTGGCTAGTCAGTAAGGTCTCTTGGTGGTTGTAGTTGAAAGACTTAGAATCAAATCCCACCTGCACCTAAGTTAGAGGGTTATGGGTTTAGGGGATGGGCCACCCTTGTTGTATAGCCTCATGGAGCCAAGAAAAGGGAAAAAGAATATGTAATTCCTCTATTTCAAATGTTGCTCAAATGAATATACCTTCAAAAAGATTGATAAAATTCAAAGTCAATTCTTTTGAGTCCCAAGAGAAGGTAAGGGAGCAATTGTAGGACAAGTTAGAAAAGGCTTTACAAATTAGTGACTTTTATTTTTGAAAAAATCATTAAAAACCCTTGGAGTTTTTAGAAAATCTATAAGAAGTATTTTTCCCATGTGTTAATGCTTTCGTATTTGAATTTGAGGAAAAATCAAATATATTGTTGATTGTTTAAAATGAGATTAAAAACAGGACAAATTGAGCCCTCCATTGTTAATTTCTTGCTGAATTGTATAAAACGGCATAAATGGAATTCTTCTATGCATCTTAAATAACTACACAACATGTCTACTTTTCTTATAACTCACAATGTGTCTAAATAAACATATATAAATCACAGAACTTAATGAATTGTAATAGAAATTGCATGAAGTATTTAGTTGGATAGCTTTAACTACTCTAGACACTTTGAGAAACATGTTGATTTCTAGATGAAATTACAATTTACTTGGAATCTACACAAAGTAGCAATAGATCTATAGGGCTTTTAAACTTTTTCTTGACTTAAAATATCCATCTGAAGATGTAAATTGTAAATTGAATACTATATTTTATTTGATTCCATTCTCTCTCATTGAATCATATGTTTAATGTATTTTATTTCTCATCATTAAATTTCACTAATTAAATTCATGAATAACAATTTTAGTAGTATAAAAACTTGTATATTGAAAATCAACTTGGAAACAAAACCGGTTTTTAAGTCTGATAAATAAGAAGAATTTTCATTAATGATAGAAAGGGAAAACAAAATTTAAAACATTCTTAGCAATGAAACCACTTTCATGTTTGTTAAATGATGGAAACGGATATACAAAAATTATGAAAAGAGAAAATTAATGTTTATTCCATTGCCCTACTAAACAAATCAAATGATTCAATGGTGTGGTTAGTTAGGTCACCATGTTGTTGGCCAAGTCAATGGTTTTTTACAAACAAGCACTTTGATGAAAAATGAACATAAAATCCAAGCCAAGTAACAATTCAATTAATCTAATAGGTCTCTAGACAAACAATGATTCAATTAGCACAATAAATTGAAAATATTGATATAAACTATAGAATAAGAAGATTTGATACAAGTTCTTACGTTGAAAGGCACAAAGATTTTATTTAATGTACAAACACTAAAGTACTAGTGCTACGAGTAGATATCATTGAGACGGTACATTTGGTAATGATATGTGTACAAGTGGCAACTCGTCAGCTGTGAACCCCCTTCAACCTGTAAAGGTTTAGTTATTAACACTATTTATAATTTATTGCTAAAACTACTTTGTTTCCACCTCCATTTAAATTCTTGAGCGTACCTGTAAGCTGTAACATACTTTTTATCTTCAAAAATGGCAGGACTAGAAAAGAGGGCAAGGGTATAGGGATATAAAGATTTCCTTTCCATCATTAAAATTAAAAAAAAAAAAAAACGCGATGATGAAAATCTCCGCACTATGTCAATGGACCGGTTTTAGGTTGGAATCCGTCCAAATCAAAATCCATTTGGATGGATTGGACGGACCAATAAGACATATTGAATTTGGATGGACTGGACAGACCAATATGACATATTGGATTGGACCTGGTCTGTCCATAATGAATTTATATTGGATTGAGCCAATATCTGGTCCATTAATTGAAAGAAGATAAGAACATAAGTGTCAATGGTCCAGATTTGAGTTGAAACCAATCTAAATTAACAAGAATTTGAGCAAATTGGACAATCTCTGGGATGGTCCAAAATATTCATTAGGCTGAACCGGATTGGACCAAATCCAGTCCAATTGACACCCCTACTTGTATGTATTGTTTTATCTTATTCAATTTAATTAAAAAATATACACCTTAACTAATAATAATCCTCTCTTCTATATATATGTCTATATACCAAGTTTCTGAATCCTCCTTCCAACCTATATACGAACTTTCATAAATGCGCTAATGATTATATTAATCCAAATGATCAGTTCTAATTAGATTGGTCCTGAACCTGACTAATTAATCAGTCAGTCAGGTTCAGGACCAATCTAATAAAGATTGACCCTAAGATTTCAATAGTCCTCCCGTGATTAGCTAATCCTAATCCACACCCGGCATCACAAATCACAACGGCACTGCAACTTCTTGAATCTAATCTATTTGTTTAGCTCTATGTATGACAGTAATGTATAGCTTAACAAATGTAATTAAATTAAGATTATTAAGATGTGAATCAAGTGTTTTTTTATATTAAAGAACAAGATTCTCATCGTCTTAAAAAAAAAGAACAAAATTCTCATCACAATCAAACCAAAAGCTTAATTATGATCTTACAATAATAAATTTTAATTACATACTAATACTCAAAAACATATTTCCGTAGTAAGGTTAGGTTGCTCATTCTCCACATAACTAAACCAAGAAGAACTCGGTTTGGGAATTCAATTATAATTTTCTTTCAACCCAAGCCCAAATTGAAGTTTGAAAATTGAAATTGAGTACTACCGTTCAACTGGTGCCGGTTCAAGTTCAGGGTTGAGTCCGGCCGAAAGTACCAGACCTACTGAAAAAGATTTCACTGAGATGTGAAAGTACTCAAACCTGAAGCTGTTCATAGGGTCATTTTTGTGGTCTAAGATTAGACTTTTTTTTCTTAATTTCTGAAGCCTTAAAGGGTAGACATTGTTGTTGTTTTTTTTTTTTTAAGTTGTGTTTGGTTGCAGTGCAGTTTTATTTGTATTGGTACAAATGTATGGGAGTATAAATGGAAAAAATGCAAATTATCATTTAATTTTGTTTTGAATTTTATTTTATTCTACTTCATGTATTAATTTACTTTATTTACACTGCAATAAAATAAAATAAACTAAAATTTAAAACAAAAATAAGTCAAAATTTACACTTGAATCATTTGTACTATCATAATTTTTTGCATCAATAAAAATTTATTTGCATTGCAACCAAACACAACTTTAGTGACATTGTTGTGTCGTACTTCAACCGTGAGCAAGATAATGGAAAGCAATGATAACCGCATCAGATCACAGGATTGAACCCTATGAGCTATGAATGAAGTACGAAGATGATTGAGGACCACTCTGTTAATTTTTTGCCGGTTGTAAAATATTAATAACATCAACCCAACCCCGGTGTATTGGTAATCCGGCCCACCAACACTAAACCCCACTCTCACACAGATCTGACGGTTGAGAGCTCTTATCCTTATGGATAAGTGCTTTGTTCAACATCGCTTTAAAAGAAATGGAAATCGTTAGCCGAAAATAGGTTTGATGTAACATAGTAGCTTACTAGGCTCCACGTGTCAAGTTGTAGGCTGAGCTGGGAAGAGTGTGGATATGAGTTTTTGAGAGGTCAACTATGCAGCCCACACTGGATCACGTAGTTGTGTCTCAAACCCAAACAAGAAAAGGGAGAGCGATTGCTGAGATTTTTCTCGACATCTTGAAATGGATCGAATTTCAATTTTCTTACGTATTTGATATTCAAAATTTCAAAATAATAAAATAACATGGTCTTGCGTGTTGAGTCTGACACATAAAGGAGGCCCAGGTCGTTGGCTCAAAAACAAGCACATTTCCATTGGCCCACTTGAAATCAATCTTCAACTTGGAGGACATGAGGAGAAGAGGCGGGGACAGCATGGCGTATCTCTACAACTGATTCTCTCTCTCTCTCTCTCTCTCTCTCTTTCTAACTCTATTTAAAAACAAGACTAGCCCACTGCTTTCTCCCATGCACTTGTCTTCTTCACCCCCAACACTACTTGTGCTGTGTTATTGTGCTCTTCTTCCCTTCCCCCCCACCACTCTCTTCCTCAGCTCCTTCTTTTTCCTCTTCTTCTTCGTATCTCTTTTATATCTCCCTCTCTATAACTTGCTTTCTTACATTCTTTTCGCTCTCTCTCTCTCTCTCACTCTCTCACTGACTCTCCTCTCCTCCCGTCTCCCTCTATCTCTCACTCAAACTGGCACAATTCTTCCATACCCCTCTTCCTAATAATCTTTCTGTCTGACAAACCTATTCCACATTTTCTCTCTCTGGGTTGTGTTGCCCATCTTCAATCTCTTTTAAATAGAGTGACAGAGATACACACAGCACACTGAGAAAATGTCGAGCAGAAGGTCGCGCTCCAGACAGTCAGGGAATTCGAGGATCACTGATGATCAGATCAACGACCTTGTATCCAAGTTGCAACAACTTCTTCCAGAAATTCGTGATAGGCGATCGGACAAGGTGATTTGGGGTTCCCTCTTCTTATCTACATTTGTGTGGTCTACCTTTGCTTATGCATTTAAGCCTTGAATCATGCCCACGAATCCATCCTCCTTTTTAATCTTTATTTGTTTGTGGTGTACCTATTCAGCTACAGTTGAGCTGTGGGACTAGAAATGTTGTTGTTGGACTGTGCCAGCTGTTACATAGTTTAGCAAGCTTTATTCAGTCTAATGCTCCTGATTAGTTGCTAATTAAGATTCAATCTTGTTTTATTGCAGGTATCCGCCTCCATGGTCCTACAGGAGACATGCAACTACATTAGGAGTTTACACAGAGAGGTAGATGACCTGAGTGAGCGATTATCGGAGTTATTGGCCACAACAGACGCCAGTAGTGCCCAAGCAGCTATTATTAGGAGTCTACTCATGTAACCGATCCACCTCTGTATTCTCTCTCTCTCTCTCTCTCTCTCTCTCTCTCTCTTTTCCCCCTTCTTTCTTCCCTTTTTCTAGGGTTTGTTAGTACGCCGGGGAGATGGAATTGAGCTTCAAGGACATCCCATTAATGCAAAGAGGTGTAGTAATTTTTAAGTTTAGCTATATAATAAACTACTATTTGCACTCACCAAAAAGCTTCTTCTCTCGTAAATCTCTCCATCCTTTTACTTTTACAACAACTCGTCCAACGACGTCGTCGTCAATTTCCATACATTAAGCTACGTTAAAAATAATGGTTTGTGCCCTAATTTTAAGATTATCTTAGGCGTTGCTTGTGACACTTTGCAAAGGCTAATTCACATCTTCATGTTATCAAAGAACAGTAGCGGAGGTTTAATCAAGTTGATTAATGCTATGCTTTTTTATTAACGTATGGGGAACTCATATGATACAATTAAAGTAGAACCCGTGAGGTAGACGACTACGTTAATTTAAGCCATAAGTCATGTAGTTCAACACGTGACGTGGAGTCGACCCCATATATACCAAAATTTGGAGTGTGAGTTAGGAGGGGATGGAGCCCGTGATGTTAACATCACTGAGCTATTTGCCTACAAAATTGACGATCACAAGATCTTAACTTCACCGCCATTTGCTTATCTTCAGCTAGCATTTGATAAGGAATTTACATTATATTTATTAAAGAAGAAGAAGAAGAAGGTTGATCACCATATATATATATATATATATATATATTTATATGATATTATCACTGGGAACCGATCGATTAACAGTGAACATACTGTTAAAGAAGAAAAAAGGAAATCAGTACTTCCTCCTGGATTCGAAAACAACTTTTCCTTTTTCCATTTTCATGGGTAAGACAGGGTAAACTAGTGTTTCAATAAACAAGGATAGCATGCAATTACAGTACTCTGATGTTCAAAATCTATCCATCTTCTTTTGGCAGCTGATCTATAAGGCAATAATGGTCGTACATTCACAAGCGATCCACACAGAGAAATCCTCCTTATTACATGCTAAATGGGCCGGTCTTAATTTCCCATCAGACTGAAACGTATGCACATAATAATTTAAGAGATTCTGCAACTTTTCTGTGAATTCTACTGTTTCGTGGTTTGCCTGTTTCAAAATACAAAGACCTCTAACAACTAATAATTGATTTCTACCCCACAAACTTCCATGGGTTCTCACACAAGGTGTCCCCATTGGAGCAGGCATGCATAATGCACATAAGAAAGAGCAATTGGGTCCTTTTCTTTCTGTGTTTGTTTTTATTCTTTTTATTTTTATTTTTTTAATTTTAATTTCTTTTATGTGTGTCTCTGTCACATACACCCACACACAACACAGAGTAACCATTTGGCGACTAGGAGTTACTGATTATCGCCCATGCTTAGAACTAATCTGATAAGAAAGAAACAGAATTTGTAACGTGCATTGATATATATATATATATATATGTTCTACGTAATAATAATCTTCTCTCAACTAACCCAGACTGAGGTTCGTGATTCAATGAATGATCTATCATGTGCGAGAGACCCCTTTCTAATCGTTGGGCTGGTGTCAGAGAAAATTCATAACAATTCAGAGTGGGGTACGGGTTTTTACTTTTTAATTGGATCTGGATCCTATGTAGAGAGAGAGAGAGAGAGGGGGGGGGCGAAATTATATTATTAATAAGAAAAAAAAAAAAAAAGTACTGTAACCCACTCCTCATCATCAAACAAAATTAAAGATCAAACTAAAAGAGCTAGTTCATGTATATATAGCAATTTAAACATAAAAAGAGATTACATCAACGTAGATATTCTTACTCAATAATTTCTATTATTGTATGGATTTGATGAAATAAAAGAGGTGTCTTACAAATAATGTATATGGAGATTCCAATCCTATAATAATGATGATGATGATAGAAAAAGCATCATCAGCAGAGAATAGAGGAGAGAGTAGAGAGGAATTGGATCTGAATGAAATCCTAATTAATATAGCACAAGTGAATCGTCGTACTAAGGCACATGACCCTCATTATATCATGTCACTTACAATTTTAATTTGCTGAATAAATTCCATCCACTTCATTTTATTGCCTTCATGAAATCGCAAGTTGGTGCATGTCACATTGACACGATATATACATATTTAACAGGAAACATTAGATTGCCCCACACTGCAGCCCTCCCGTTAACGTTTGATGGTACCTCAAGTGTCCAATCACTGGACCCGGCCCTTCTCCTCCTACTGCAGACACATCTAATGACGAAATATCCCTTTGATCCATCCATCCATCCATCGAATGATTTAATTATCATTGTACAATACATCAATCCTGTTCGCTGCAATTCCAGGCTTAATTAGCTGTCCATGTAAAGCAGGGTATTTGATGCGGAGATTGAATAACTGATTATATAGATAGATAAGATAGCTCCCATCCCTTGCATCGATCCTGAATTTTGGATTTTGATTAATTAATAGGGAATGAGGGATGCACATTGTATGTATGTATGAAGATAGCACTATGACCATATATAATTAATGAGAATGAGAATTTGCAAACATGCATGTGGGATGTGGCCGCCTCGATTCAATGCCGATCGAGCATTTATATTTATACACCATGCAATTGCAAAGCATCATTTAGAAATTTAAGAAGGTTATTCCAAACTTTCAATTCAATTCATTATGTCTAATGGGCCTGTGATGCCCAATCAACGTCGTATTTGTAGATTTTGTGCTTTTATTTTTATTTTTTACCAACTTGCCCATTTAAATAATGATCGCTCAACCCTTGTTTGACAAAAAGAATAATTAATGAACATACATGAAATGAAATAATTAATATTTATATATATTTGGTAGTCTTCCCATCTTACCAGTGTCCAGTGGACAAGATCGTGAATGACTCGTTTCGATCCCTGCTTATTGGCACTCCATCGTTCAACACCTTGATGGGAATCAGTTCCCTTTTTGATTCATCTGACAGAGGAATCAGTTTTTCATTCATGGTTAAATCTTCTCAATTTATCCATACCATGTATATTCTATCATTCTCATAATGCTTTTAAATAATAAATGAGTATAATAAATTCTCATAAAGTTTTGAAATACATCACACAATATATATCTTGTCCGGAAAACATCCCCTTGGTGTTAGAAAATTAAGCACCACACGAATCTAATTTATGTATTAAATTCTATACCCCTAAATATGGGATCATTCTGCCCCGCTCATCCAACCCTCCTATTGTATCTAATTATTTTGTTTTCAGCAAAATATAATACTACCTGGTTTTTAAAGGATAATAATGTGGTTGTAAAATTTTTCCAAACTCTACATATATCTCACAAAAGACATATATAGGTAGAATTCGGGATACATGTTATTACTCATATTAATACAATGAATGTTTGCTGCAACTTAATTGGCTGGTTTAAACGTTAAACCAAAACCATGGTCTGTTTGTTGAACTTGGGTTCAGTCCTCAGTCCTCACAATATGGTGCTCACACCATCCTTACAATCACTAACATCCCTGCACTTATATGCTTTTATTCATGGGGAGATATTCCCAATACACCAGGTGCAATTGTGGCTGTGATTACAGTACTGTAAGCACCGTTTTGTAAGGACTGAATCTGATCTCATGTTTGTTCAACTTGATCAGCAGACTCGTTTCTCAAGGGATAACACTGCAACTTGTCTAAAGCAGTAAAACATTTGTCCATCTTGACAAGTCTTGGTACTAGAAAATGCAGTCCAAGACTTGCATGAAGCCTTAAAAATAATAGATTTCTGCTGGAAAGTAGATCAGAGACTTGACTTAAAACTAATATCTAGTCAATTAATTTTAACTAATGCAGCAACTATATATTTTAACTGTGAACACAGTCAGAAAATTAATGGTCCTAAATCAAGGGGTTTTAGATCGACAATGTGGATCGGTCCAAAATATATTGAAGGTTCGACACCTGATCAAAAGCTTTTAATTTGTTGGGTAAAGGAACGAGACATGTATATGAAGTTGCAAATTGCAACCAGATACGCCCTCGGCTCTTGCATACTAATTGCTGCTCCTAGGATCATTAATTTTTAAAGCTCATATCGCGGCTTGTATGTGCAAGTGCAACTCTCTAGCGCAAGAATTATATATATATATAGAGAGAGAGAGAGATCATTTTCATCAGGATTTAGAGGGCCAGAAGGCACTATTATAAGAAGTAAGACAAATTTAGGAGCGCTATAGCTTTCTTTGCAGATTTAGAGTAGCTCCATTGGATTTTATGTATGCACCCAACATATATATATATATATATATATATATATATTAGGTAGGTGGTCTCCATCTGCTAAATGTTGATGACTTTGAATCTCCCATTAAGTTGTCAAACGAAATGAAGTTGGCTGCCTAATCTGTTCTATAAGCGGAGAAAAAGCGCAATTTGATTTTGCAAAATGATAATTCTCACATCCTTTTCCACAAAAATGTTGAAAATGTTCCCATTTGTATCAAAATAGTAATTCTATAGTAATCTAGAAAGCTAAGATCACTCAAAATCTATGGAGAAGACTACTTATTGCCTTGTGTTCTCTAAAAAGAAATATGACAATAAATAATATTACTTATTTCAGGAGTTGCATTTAACAATAGGTGAGATGACCCACCAAATCTTGTTAGAGAGAGAGAGAGAGAGCTAATGATGCCCTTCGGATTTGGATTCTGAATGCAACAGCGAGCCGTATTTTTATGCCCTATTTTGGATCAAAGCTCATGTTAGTAATCAATATTCAATCAACTTTACTAATTAAATATCAGTTTCCGAATTGATCAAATCTTTTGACTATAGCTCTTGGTCTTATACTTAATTTTATTCCCTTTCTTTGATGGGGATAATCTATCTGACAATACTAATTAGACTCAATTTGGGAAGACACAAATGCAAATATGTATAAGTATAATGCAAAACCTAACCTGATACACTGTATTTCTAAAAACTGTACATATTTCTATTTATACTCTTGGCAATCCCAAACGGAGTCTTAGAAACACAAAATACACCGCAATTGAAACTTGAAAGCCCTTCTACATATCTCCTTTTCTAGTATCGTTAGCTTGGCTTTTCATTGGTTGGTTGGACCACAACAAGGTCTTAACAACTTGGGC